TATATATATATATAAATATATATATATATATATATATAAATGTTCCTTAAGGTAAAGTGCAAGTGAGATATAGGACAACAATTTAAACTTTTTAATAAAAAATAATTTGGTCTTTTCCCATTACTTCATTTTGAACAAATTTCCACTCCAACAAATTTCTTGTAAAACAATTTTTCTTCCATGAAATTTATTTCGTAAAATTTTTCCAGGTAAACTTTAATGAAAGTGTCGAGTTATATTAAATTCTCTTTGCTTATGACGCTGTTCAATCAGGCCGTAATCAGAAACATGGGCGTTACCGCTGAATGGTAAAATGAATAGTTTACATTTTTTGTATTGGTTTTAAGCAGAAAACCACTGCTGCGAACAATGTTGCACGGCTCTCCATAAGCCGCAATTTTTTAAATGATTTTTAAGCGGAATTTCTCGACATCTGGTGATATTGACAAGACCTTGAAGCTTACAGTCTTGCAAGTGACAAAGGAGATCTCTAAAGTTTGTTTTTACTGTGCTTTGTCTCTTGTCATCTTTTCATTTGTCCTGTTCGCTGAAGAAGGCTCTAAGCCGAAACTTTCACGTCTTATTGTCATGTCTTCTGATTCAATCTTCATCATATCTTTTATAATATTTCCGTCACACAGCTTGGATCAAATGGTATAACAGAAAAGAAAAAAAAAAGATTTATTGCCCCCAAACTGTCCTAAAGCTTTTTTCCTGGTATCTTACTTTAAATTTTTTTAAATATTTCCTGTTCTGAAAAGTGATCTTTAATTTTGAAAAATCGTGATTTAAAAAACAGCAACAGAAGTTTAAAATTAAATATTATTGCTACTGGAGTTACCCCTCAACCGACACCATTGGCTATCCTTCTACGGACACCACTGTCTACCCCTTTTACCGACACCACTGGTTATTTTTGTAGCGGCACCACTGGCTACCCCTCTACCGACACCATTGTCTAAACCTCTACTGACACCATTGTCTACCCCTCTACTGACACCATTGTCTACCCCTCTACTGACACCATTGTCTACCCCTCTACGGACACCACTGTCTACCCCTTTTACCGACACCACTGGTTATTTTTGTAGCGACACCACTGGCTACGCCTCTACCGACACCGCAGGCTACCCCTCTACGAACACCGCATATTACCCATCTACCGACACCACTGGCTATCCCTCTACCGACACCATAGTCTGTCCCTTCACTAACACCACTGGCTACCCCTCTACCGACACCACTGGTTACCCTTCTACCGACATTACTATCTACCCCTCTACGGACATTACTGTCCACGCCTCTACTTACATTACTGTCTACCCCTTTATAGACATTACTGTCTACCCCTCTAAAGACATAATCTAGTGGCTTGGAGAGAGGTGATTTGCTGTTGGGCACCAGCTTATAATCCCAGGCCTTGTGAAATTCGTCCTTCGAAGTCCACACCATCGTGACAATGTGACGGACGAATGCCAGCAAAAAAAAAAAAGCTTTGTTATTGTTTTAAGCTATCGCGCATCATCTCAAGAACATATCTATCAGCCCTTTGATAACCATGCCCTAGATCGTCTCAAGAACATATCTATCAGCCCTTTGATAACCATGCCCTAGATCGTCTCAAGAACATATCTATCAGCCCTTTGATAACCATGCCCTAGATCGTCTCAAGAACATATCTATCAGCCCTTTGATAACCATGCCCTAGATCGTCTCAAGAACATATCTATCAGCCCTTTGATAACCATGCCCTAGATCGTCTCAAGAACATATCTATCAGCCCTTTGATAACCATGCCCTAGATCGTCTCAAGAACATATCTATCAGCCCTTTGATAACCATGCCCTAGATCGTCTCAAGAACATATCTATCAGCCCTTTGATAACCATGCCCTAGATCGTCTCAAGAACANCCCCCCCCCCCCGGGGAAAGCCAAGTGCCCCTGGAGCAAAAATAAGTCCAAAAGTAAATCAACTGGAAATGCTGTTACTGCCTCCTCCCCCCCCACCCCCCCCCCCCCCCCAGAAAAATCTGAAGTACTTCCCTACCCCCAGGGGGAAAACTTCTGAAATAATCACAGCAAGAAAGACTTAATACAATGTATAGAAAAAAAAACCCATTTAGCGTACTGATAACTCAAAATAATGAGTAGAATTTGCGTGTCTTTTGCGCCGAAAAATGCCGCCTCCGCCACTGTATTGAGGAAAAAAGTTCTGACAGTTGTGGACCGCGAACCGCCCCCCCCCCACTCGTCCCACGCCACTGCACACACATTTACTTATTTCTCTACCGCTCCCGACCAATGACATTTAGGCCGATTAAAACAGGGGTGCACCGGTAAGTCCAGAAACGCGTTCAGAATAAACACAGGGATTCTCATCCCTCGAAAGTTATAGCATTTTATGACCCCGCCTACATTATTCCGTGTAAATTGATTAAAAGTATCGCTAAATATTTTGTTGGATCACTACAAGTTTATTTGGAATCCTTTTGATTTCGGAAGCTACTAAAAAAAATGTTGAATATTTTTTTTTTATGATGGAGACGAGTATTCTTTATTTAGAAAAGCCTCCTGGACAATATGTCAATTTCAAATATTTTGGATCTCAACTGCACTACTTAAGTTCTTTGGCCTCGAATAAGTGCTATTTCGTATGTGCCAATGTGGGAATGATCGTTAAACGTGTGGGGGGGAGGGGGGGACAGATCTCTTTTTAAATTATATTGAATGTTCCCACAGTTCCTATCCAGTAAGCCAAACTGAAAAACCAGTCCTTTGCGATGTCTAATAATGCGCTGGGGCGTAACCGGTTACCTCCTAATTGAAAGACCTGCTGACTCGTGGGCAACCCATTCCATTTGCGAAAAAGTTTCCAGCCATAGGATCTCGTAAGTGAAAATACTTGTAATGTAATCGTTTTGTTCGTGTTATAATATTATGATATTTCTGTTATCAGATTGTTTTCAAACATGAGACGACACACTGGAATTCTGAAGTTGTCGACAGATTTTAAATTTCTTAAATGGAAAAGAAACAGAAATGTATAAAAAATGTTTTGTGTGGTGGGGAGCTGAATGTTGTTTGCTTACAAAGACATACGCGACCATTTTTATAATTCGTTTATTGAAAAGTTTAATATTTGGGTCTCTGCTTCACACAGAAAGTACTTTCTTTTTTTCTTTAAATTTTAATAATGCTTTGAAATTTACAACAAAAAAAAAGAAACAACTATTTAAATCTTCTTTATAACATTTTAAAAAAAAAACACCAATCTGAAGCCAAAAGTCAGAGTAGTGAACACTTTGTACGCTTCTGGTCATTCAATTAGCAGAACACAAGATTAAAAATAATAATAATAATAAAGTTCATTTGAAAATCACGCTTCATCCCCAAAGGCTCGAAGCGCGGTACATAGTCCACGATATCAAAATTGAAATGAAAAAATCCATACCATACCACACTGAAACACAAAACTCAACTTCACAAAAACTACAAACGAGAAAACCCATTCCAAGTCTGTCATCCCCTACAAACACAAACAAAACAGGCCAAAACACACCTAGGAGACAATAGCCAGCTGGCAAAGATGGTAGACAACATCGACCCAGCAGGTGTTTGCGAAATAGATGTGTTTTCAATTCGGTTTTGGGAAAGTACAAACCTGGTCACTCAGATACCAAGACTTATTCCTAGTCGAGGCAAGCTACATCGCAGGGTGAAACGAAAGAGCGGAGAAAGTGTTCCTCGCTATGTGAAGTTATCACGCAATGTTTGCGTTATTTATCTTATTCAATAGTAAACGTCCTTATAGTCTAGCTTACTATGGATCTGCAGCATTACTAGTCTGATATTATATATAATAACTTTTTATAGAAAGTTTAAGAACCTTGAAACTTGAGTGCTGCAGTTCTAAGATTAGAATAGTAGTAGAGTATTGTTTCATATTTGACTTTTTCTATTTTTCCCTAGTGGGACGCAAACCTGTTATTTAGTCGCCTGCAGCTTTCAAGCTGATCCTTTTGACGTCAGTTTTGACGTCAGTGTTGACGGCAGTGATGACGTCAGTGTTGACGTCAGTGTTGACATCAGAAATGGCGCCATTTATATATTAGTGCCTGATTGCAAATGTAACATGAAAATCTACAAGTATTTAAAGTTGTGCAATTATTTTTATAAACACATTGAATGCATAACTATAGATTGAGTGAAGTGACCAGCCAGCTTTCATGTGCTGGAACCATTTTACACATATTTTGTTTTTAAATTGCTAATAATTTGAGTCAACAAAGAATTGTGTCTTATCTTATTTTACATTTTGGGGGAAAAAAAAGTAGAAAACACAATCAGGTCATACCAATGTCTCTTGACTTTCCGAGGCCCCCTTTCAAACTTCGGTTCCCCCTCTCCCCCCGCATTCGAAGATGAATTTATTTTTAAAAAATGTGCATTACAACTTTGAGCCCCTTAAATATCCAAGGCTCCTTGAAGCCAACGTCGTCACAGTGCCCATATGACGTATCTGGGTCACGTGGTACCTACATTTTTAATGAGCATCTCTGGGATCGAGCGTAGGATGATTAAAAAAAACTAATTTCTGGCATGTGCTAAAATTCATTCTTGTATTTTGAATCAATACATAGCAATTATTTGGAAGGTCATATACCAGTTTATGTAAGGCGCTGGGCGCCATTATACCATCTAACATGTTGATAGATGTCATTTCCCCCTCCACCCAGGGTGCTTGAAAAAATCCTTTCCCCCGCTGAAATTAACAAATAGAAACATTGGATTCGGGTAAACAGTAAATGCAACTCAGACATTTGAAATGATCCACACTTGGCTGGGGAGGGGCTAATGAGCCCTTTTTGGCCAAGCCATGATCCCCTTAGAGTTCTGCCACACTTTCCAAATTGAAATTAAATTATAGCTGGCCCTTGTCGCCAATTTTGGCCCATTTATAGATACATTGCGTAGTGGCGTGCTTTCTGCTGGGATCAAGAGCAGTGTCGATTAAATATTTACTGGGACTACATTCGCTGACACTGCATCGGCTGACACTTCATCGGCGGACCCTTCATCGGCGGACCCTTCATCGGCGGACACTTTATCAACAGAATACAATCGTGGACAAACATTTCAAACAAACAGAGAAAAAGTTCTATTATATGTCTATCGATTAAATATACCCGCTTATGAAATATGTCTGTTGATGAAATATAATTGTTGATGAAATATGCTCATTGATGAAATATATCTGTTGATAAAATATGTCTGTCGATGAATTATGCCTATTGATGAAGTGGCTTGTAAGAATTCATTTGCTTGTTCACATGAAATGTTTGTGTTAAAATAAAATATTCAAAACGATTTATGTGGAAACTTGATTTTTAAAAAAAAAGACAATTACATGAACTTTTGCACTGATAGCCCACCACCACAAACCCAATTTACAACAACAACAACACCAACGCGAGCCATACAAATCGAAAGAAAAGAATTAGAATTCTAACCTAGTTTATTCGATGAAATTATGACGGTTCATGGCAACGTCACAAGAGAATAAACTGTATGAAAAAACTTTGGGTGTCTTCGCTTCGACCTCCGTTTTGTAAGATTATATTTAAAATGTCATTTTTAAAAAATTCTTTCTTCTTTTTCATCTACAATTATAAACATTGTTATTTGGTCAGAGATTTATAAACCATCTTGGTATCATTGAAAAGAGTGTATAAAGAGAAATATCTAAAGAATGAACACCATATATAGTACTCTCAGTGAATTTGTGAACTAAAAGCAACTTTACAAACAAATCGCTGCACCGACTTCTCTTCAGACATTTCAACACAAATGAAAAAAAATAAATCGTTAGTGAATCTGTCAACCATGTAACCATTAGTGAATCTGTCAACCATGTAGCCATTAGTGAATCTGTCAACCATGTAACCATTAGTGAATCTGTCAACCATGCAAGTATTTTAAGGTTATGCATAACATAATATTTAGCGGAATAACGGCTCCAGCAGAACTAACTTTGTTTTAATTTCACTAAAACAGGAAGTAGAATGACACGAAGGACGTCATCGACAAGCTGTGTCCTCAATTTGGTGACTTGCCTAGCACTACACCTGCTTTGGCTTGTTGCCGTGTCTAGCATAGAAGGTAAGTGGCGTGGCGTTCAACGTCTTAAATGTTGATATAACTGGTTTGGGGGGAGGGAAGGAGAGTGGCAGGAGCCGGCCATGCGAGGCAATCCTTTTTAATTCCTTTATATTAACTTCGCTTTTGTTGGCGTGTTCGTGTGTTCGGGACGAGATCTCCAGTAGCTAGGTCACCCAGTGCTCACCATTGTATCGGAGATTAATAAAAGAAAATATCGCAAATACGTTTTGTGCGAAGTATTTTCTCACGTGATTCGGAAATACTGGGTGTAATAAATCTGGGGTGGAAAAATCGGGTGGGGATTTGGAATATTGATTTAGTTCAGGGGCGTTTACAAAATGTTCGTTTACGTGGAGACGACATATTGGGATTCTTATAATGTGGGTTACTTGGATGCCAGTTTAGTCAAATGTCGGTGTTTATCTTTATTGCAAATCATTTGGAAGGCTAACTGACACACTTCTTGTCATCCTATCGAGCTGAACCTTAGCGCAAAAACTCAATGACGCTGAAAACTAAGTTTATAAAATATTCAGCCCCTCTCCCTCCCCCAAATCTTAAAAATCAGTTTTTCCTGTTTTTCAAGAGGAGATAAAAGAAAAATAATGCAGTGATTTTTTAAAGAACTGTAGTCACCGCTCAGGCGCAAAAAAAAAACAAACAAACAAAAAACAAGAAAATAGCCATACACAATTTTTGTACAAAAAAAAACATTGTTTTTAATGTGTTATGTTTTTATAAATCCTTTTTATTAACTTTGCAAATCTTTTGATGGTTAATTGACAGACTTTCGTTCATCCTATCGAGCTGAGCTTTGGCACAAAGACTTTTTTGCCGATTACAACCCATTCTATCTAATTTTCAGCTCCCACACTCTACCCAAACCCAACCCCACCCCCACCCCCCAATCATTTTTTTTTACTGTTTTTCAGTAGAGAAGAAGAATGAAATATGATTTGTACAATGTTTGAATGTTTTTATGTGGAGATTAAGTGTGTTGCTGTTGCCCTGTGCTTTGCACTTGTGATATATTTGGGTTTTGTAACGATCGTGTAATGATAACGATGCTGTTTATAATTATAGTTGTAGTATAAATTATCCACATTCACAAAGCTCGAGGCGGAGTCCATGAATTCAGCATCACGATATTTATTAGATAGAAATTACACTTTACACTGCATTATACACATCTCCGAAATTGAAGGAAATGTAATTGATATAGTCTTATTACTTCACAAGTAACTTTCACACAGATCTATTGAAGAAGGAACACGATGCTACGAGATGTATGGCAAAGAGCCTCTCTTCAATATGCACCTTCCATCGTTTTACTTCTGTTCCTGTACTCTTCTGCGCATGACTTATAATATATAATTCACTTCCTGTTCCTCCTAATCTTAAAAAAAACAATACATTATTCGAAACAAAATTATTATCTCAATATTTGATCTGGGACAGGTTTAAATATATCTTTTTTTGTTTTCTGGGTTTTACACAAACTAACTTTTATAAAAATTATTTATTTTCTAAAAAAAGGCTGCTACAATTTTCAACCAGTTCCAGTTGTCTAATAAACTTGAAATTTTCCATAGTTACGCAACCACGTTGACTATACATGATCTGCAGGTCACTATTTACCTTCACTTTCCCTTTAGTGACCTCTGTGTGTCAAATTTTACATCTTTAATTTAACCACTCAGCCACCCGACAACACTAAACCCTGCAAGATCAGAAGCTCATCAAAGACCTCAGCTGACCTTGAGTATTCTCTGTGGGTCAAATTTTTCATCTCCATTTTGACCCATATTCTCATCTCAAATTGAGCTGAAACTTCGTACACAAGGCTAACCCCCACCCCCCCCACCCCCCTCCCCCATGAAAATACAAACAGGCCACAAGTCATGGCAAATAAATTATAATAGAAGAGTAAAATGTAAACAAAAATAATAATCTATAGAATTTTTTCAAAACACAACACAGGATTTTGCAAAAATGTGCTAAAAATATATACTAAATTATCCGCAAAACATCAGGGTTGTGTTGTTACAGTCATATATCCATAGAAGCTTGGGGAACAAAGGCAGCAGGTGCGGTACTGTATATTGGGACAGTGCTCAAGGCCAGCAGTTTGGGTCCCTGTCTTTGTCTATCATAACTTATCATTCAGGAAAACAATATAGGGCTATTTTGCATTGAGCTTGTTAGGAGTTGACATTAGGAATTTAGGTCAAAACTGATTGCAGCAATGGCACTACATCTGAAATGTGTTAGGGATAATGTATGGGATAATATTTTAAAATTCTTGTCTTTAAAGTCAAAGTGGACTACACCAGCAATGACCAGCAGGGGAACGCCATGCCTGATGACATCAACGTGACCGTGAGCACCGGGACCAACACGACGGCCATTTTACGCCTCTCCCGTGTCCCACACATCAACCTTGACTTTCCCCTGTACACACTCAACCATGACGGCACCGGCACGATTGTCAAACAAAGAGAAAAACGTGCAACCAAAAAGGTGAGTGGTTGGACTTTTTGTAGTTTCGCAGTTGCCTCGAAGCCACTGAAAATAATACTTTTTATTAAATCTTGACCCTCTTTATCAGGTCTGCACAACTCAAAATGTATGGTGGGCCGAAAGAAAATAGGACGGGGGAAAGCTTTTAAGAAAATAATAATAATAATAAATATTTCTTTACTTACGAAATACGTTTAATGTGACACAATGCATTGTTTTTCGGCAACAAGTTTGACGTATTCAGGAGAAATACTGGAAGTGTCATTATTAATGCATGGGCAATATCTAGTGCAGGGGCCACTGTCTGTTTCTATTAAGCATAATTTAAGATATAACACATATTTTATTTATGTTTGTCTCATTCCTTCTTGTTTGCCCTCACTCCACTTTATCCAGATGACCGCCTTCTACCAGGAAAAGGCCACCGGCGCCGTTTTTCAGATAACGAGAAAGGAAAATCGCAGGAACAAGACAGATTTATTCAAGCTGGTAAGTCAAATGAGTTGGATTTTGGATTTATCATCCTGCAGGAAAACGATTTTCCCTTTGCGTGAATGAATAGTCGCTGACAAATAAATATACGTTCATGTTTAATAAATGGCAAAAATTATGCAACGGGAGTCGTATCCGTAGAGTTTTGGGATTAAATTCACTATGTTTTAAAAGTGTAAAATTTGATGAATAACGAATGTGGTGAAATGACTTTTATATAAGGGGGTGTGGAAACAACTCTCTGATTGTTGTCACACCTGTTTGTTTCTAGGGGTAGTTAGTTATGTCAATTTCACACATTAAGGGTCATAATTACATTACTCCTTTTTACCTTAGCTGCCAAATTCTTCATAGCACCAATTTAGTAAATGAAATGAACGTATTTATTTACATGTATTTTACTATATGGCATAATAGTGAAGTATGTGCAAAACATTTTTATTTTGCAACTATTTAAGCTCTAGTCTATTATGAAAAATGGCCTCCCGTATAGCCTATGACTCATCATAACGATTGCTTTGCTTTTTAACACAATCGTATATACTCAGACATTTCACACTTTACTTATCAGTCACTCGTGCTGATCGCCTCGCTTGAACATCCTACTTGATCAGTCACTAGTAGTATGTGGAGGTGGCTCCTCCGATACTTCACTCCGTGGCTTTTCAGGGCGATCACGTAAGTGGGCTGACAGACCGGAAGGTTATGAAGCAGCTCCGATGATCTGGTCAGATCATGCAAAATAATGAAGATCACTTCAACGTAGAAGTGGATCTTCGGGTCCTGTCCTTCGTGGCTCCTTGGGGCGTTCACGCAAGGGGACGAAACAGCAAATGCGATTCAATAGAATTACTTCAAGGGTGGAAGTGAATTCTCTAATTCTTTACCTCGTGGCTTTTCGAGGCTCAGCGCTTTTCAAGGCGTTCACGTAGGTGGCTGATACCAGTCACAACTGTACCTTCTGGGATACCTCTTCCCCAGTACGCTGTGGTGGGTGTATTTAAGACTTTACTTTGGTAGTAAGGTCCATCAGCCCGCAGTCCTATCGTTGCGGGCAATGAATTGGTCTTCCGGAGGTGGCTCCTGGGCGGGGCTCGAAGACTCAGGCCTCAGTACACCGATTCCTCAATTCAGCAGCTAAGGTGCTGTTGACTCTACTGTAGTAATACGGCGATCTAGCAACCAGGCTATATGTGAATGATGATAAAAGAAAAGAAGGGAACAACTTTTTCCAATATTCTTGAACTAACAATTCTCTCTTCAAAGGCAACGAATTTAGATCGAGGTATCAAAGGAGATATAAGTTTTACAATGTTAATATCCATTGCGATATTCTTATTCGTCTTATCACCATGGCCGGCACAGGCCTGGGTGGCTAGCGTCAACACGTGGCAATGATTCTTTTCATACATAATTATACAATCACTTAATAATATACGGAATGGATTAATGCTATATCCATCTAACTATAATGGATAACATATGGCTGACAAGTATCCATTGGCGACATCACCATCGATACGATGGGATGAAGTCTAGATAATGAAATCTCAAAATGGCTGACACGTGTCCAATGATGAAGGCACGTGTCAAACATTTAGAAAATATAAAGTACAAATGAACTAACTAAATTCCTTCTAATCAGAATGATAATACATATATTAAAACATTACATTTTTAACCAACTATGTACAAGGTAATACAAATATTCAAATAAAGAAATGAAATCAAAATGTTCGTCAACCTCACTAGGTCTAGAGAAAGCCGGCTTTAAGGTGCTCTAAGTTGGCTGCTGACTTAAGAGTCGAACTCGAAAAGAAAGATTTTAGTTAAGCGACGGCTTGTATAATGATTCTATTCTATTTGCTTATTGGAAAATCACTACCATGTGATATCCGAGTCCAGTAAACTTAATAATTTGATGCGTGACATAATCGCTCACCCAAAACGGGACACGGGGCAGCGTTTGCTTTATTGATTTAGTTCTTGGTTCGATTCTTGGTTCAGTTAGCTGGTCAGAAAATTTATCAGTTCAGTATGCAACTCACTCTTCACACTCTTAAATCCCTCAACTGAAAGAATGAAAAATATATTTTTAAATTGTTTTTACTGAAGTTTCATTTTTAAAAATTCTTCCTTGACATCCTCCTCTAATCGATGAGTTCTCAATCATAGAATTTTAACACATTTTCTGAACAATAATTTTAAAAAAGTTATTAAATAAATTACATAAATTGAAAACACCTATTTGGCCTCACTGAATTAATTACGTTATATAAAGAAAATAGGTCTATAATTTTATATGTTCTATATATTTGAAAGTTTGAACATAAATAAAAGGGTTAAAATCATTTAAAGATTTCGATAAAATATTGGGATCATCAAAAATTATTTCGAGGTTAGTGTTCTTTCATGGCATCAACTATTTCAGTTACATTAAAGGTTGAATTGATATCAAAATTTACTACTCAATAGAAAAGATTCATAAAGATGAGAAAGTTCGTTGTTTTTTTTTTAAAATATAATTTCGCTGAATTTTGTATTTTTTAAAAAAAATTTTTGGTCCATGGATGGGGCGATTTGGGGTGGGGCATTAGATGTGCTCAGGTTTGCACTTCCCCCCCCCCCGAGGGTTTCCTCAAGTAAGCACTGCTGGGCGGTACTGTGCATATGGCTGAATTAGTTGACCAATAGACTTGCCCCACTTTTATCCACAACTGAATCAAAAGATTATGTTACAATTAGTTAGCTAATCTATTTGTGATTAATAATAGCAGGTTTTTAAAGTGATTATTTACTTGTATGAAAGCAGAGACAAAGTTTTAATTGTTGTAACAGAAATTGTTCTTTCTCAATCAGAACAACGTCTGGCCATAGCTGAAAAATCCAGTCAGATGTCATCTTTTAAAAAATACGTTATTTCCGATTTCGCTAAATATATTTAAATTAACTAACAATATTCAAAATAACACATATTTTTTTTTGTCAATTAATATTGTTGTTCTTTATTTCAAGAAAGGAGCATTCAAAATATCCGGAAAAAGCTTTTTCTTAAAATCCGAGAAAAGAAGGAAAAGGAATTTCCAGACAACGGCGTCCTCAACGACATCGAGATCCACCTCTAAAGCTTCATCCCCTTCGATGTCCGACACTGAAGACGAGATTTACAGCCTTGAAGTCCAGAGAGTCCAGAGACCAACAATCCACGACTTCATGGAAGCACGTAAGAAATAGACTTACAATAACGTTGAGTAACCAGACTTGTCTTAATGATTGATTGCATCCAGTGCAGAACAGTGTTTAAACCTTGTTTTCGTCCGTCAAAAATCGACCAGGATAATTTCTATCATCCGACATTGAAAAGATCTTCTTCTACTGTGTATGCTCAGATGGCTGATAAGGCCGATTCTTTCCACACAAAAAAAGACTGGGGATTTATTGGGCTTCTCCAGGTGAATAGTTAACCCGGGCTTTTCTGCTCTGCAGCCCCTGTTCTCTTCGCTTCATGATGTATGGGTATTTAGTGAAAGAGGAAAACCTCAAAGCTGGAATTAATGCCATGTCGCTTACGTATTTCTGTTCATATCGAGCGCTTTCAATGGGGCTTTTTAGGTTGTCTTTAATCGTTTCTTCTGGCTAACAGCAAGTTGCCTTACCCTCAATTTTTTTTTCGGCCTCCTCCCATCACATATCGATATGTATTCCAGTTTTCTGTGCTTTTTATGTGCACATTCAGGTGACCCCAAATTTCTTTGAGCTACTACTTTTGTATGTCCATCTTTGTCTGGTGTGGAAGACTTTTGAGACTTTGTTTAGTTCAGTTGTATTTCATGTTTTCCACGGCGAGGCATTTCATGTTTTCCACTACGCTGAATGAGACATGTTTCATTCTACATGCTCGAGCAGACTATAAAATAGTCTTAATCGCAAGCGGTTGGGAGTATGACATTCGCGCAACACGATTGCATTAAAATGGTAAAGATGGTGTAGAGACCTACCAGTGCTCCTCGGTGTTTAAGACCTTGTCGTTCGATTTGGTGTCGTGTGGTGCAGCTATCTTGCCTTGCGCTAGTATACTGTCCATGTTTAATACGCATAAAAATGTAGGGAAAACATCCGTTTTGTAGACTTTTATTTTAATTAGGGTGCGATTGGTCAATTTATTCTTCGATAATTGTCCATAGCTTGCATTGGCTCTTGCAATATTAAAGTTAATCTTGTCATTGGTTGTTGCTTTTTGGGACCTTGTCCGTTCAAGGTAGGAGAAGCTATTCCCCTAAGTACGCTTTAGTCATTTAATTGATTGTTGTTGTCAACATGAGGTCTTCGAGGAGCTGGTTTATCTAAGACCTGTTTATTTTTCATGTTAATTTTGAGTGGCAAGTGCTGTCATTGGAGAAGTTTCCAACTCTGCTTTTCATATTCGTTGCATATTAAAAAAGTAATTTCAAATCCAGATGTTAACTTAAGAATTTAGTCACTAGTGCATTTAGATCAGAAATGATTCTTTTCGATTACTGTATTCCTGAGATTTAAATAACAAGTGTAACCGAAAATTTGCCAAATATTTGTTTTTTTTTCTTGATCTCGAAATGGAATGACTATGATCAAGAATAGTTGGTTCTCAGGCTGTTAGGAGCTTCTAATTGTCCAGTTTTCTTCGATACACTTTTCAGCTTGGGAGCATGTCTTTAAGATTTCATTGTTATTATGATAAATTGGAATAATATTTAATACTTTTTACGGCTAATTGCTGATATGAGGCTATTTCAACGACGCGTGGAAGTTAATTTTAAATTGAACTAATAATATTACTTTCTTTACTGTCGAATTTTATTCACATTTAGCCCCGGAAGTGATAGTCTCCAGAAAAACACTGACAATGTCCAATGCTCTAAATGTATCGGACCTGGACTCTCAAGATCAAGATACAAAGAATGACACCACCAGCAGTACCGCCAAGCCCGAAGCAGACCAAATCATTGCTCTGTCATCCGAACAGTCGCCTATACAATTAGTCTCTGACGGCTCATCTGCAAAGCCAGACTTGTTCGCCAAACTCATTCGCCGGCGTAGAGCGATCACACCCATAGCCGTTGATGTTGCTGCTGTTGTTGACTACTCGGTATACTTAAAGTTTCTGACAGAAGCAGGAAATGACAGAACAGCCGCACTGCAAAATATACGGGAATATTTTGCATTCATATTTAATGGGGTGAGTAGGTATTTTTTTTTTTTTTTTACGAAGGGGCCATAAGCTACTGTAGTTGGTAACATTTCAGAATAACACGTCATTGAATATAACTTATATTAAAAATGTTTTACTTGTTTGGTATTATTGTCGTATATCTAAAACAGTTCTATTATTGTCGTGTATCTAAAACAGTTCTATTATTGTCGTTAAACTAAAACAGTTCTATTATTGGCGTGTATCTAAAACAGTTCTATTATTGTCGTGTATCTAAAACAGTTCTATTATTGGCGGATATCTAAAACAGTTCTATTATTGGCGTATATCTAAAACAGTTCTATTATTGGCGTATATCTAAAACAGTTCTATTATTGGCGTATATCTAAAACAGTTCTATTATTGGCGTATATTTAAAACAGTTCCATTATTGACGTATTTCTAAAACAGTTCTATTATTGGCGGATATCTAAAACAGCTCTATTATTGGCGTGTATCTAAAACAGTTCTATTATTGTCGTGTATCTAAAACAGTTCTATTATTGGCGTGTATCTAAAACAGTTCTATTATTGGCGTGTATCTAAAACAGTTCTATTATTGGTTTATATCTAAAACAGTTCTATTATTGGTTTATATCTAAATCTGTTCTATTATTGGCGTATATCTAAAACAGTTCCTTCATTGGTAAAAGGTTGACTTTGCTAATTTAGTTTGTGAAATTTAATACACGGAAACTTGTATCCGTTAAAAAATAAGAATAACTTTTTAGTCTCGTATTTTTTCATCATCTTTAAACTCAAGGTGCCACTACTTTTCTCATGACACACAGGTAGGCACATATTTGAACCTAATCAGGTAGGCACATATTTGAACCTAATCAGGTAGGCACATATTTGAACCTAATCAGGTAGGCACATATTTGAACCTAATCAGGTAGGCACATATTTGAACCTAATGTTAATATTCATGTGATCAAAACCAATATTCAGCAGATACCTATTACATTCAGGAGATTAAATTGCAAACAAATGTTTTATACCTATGTTCAGGTGGATCAGAGGTACCAGTCCATCAACATAAACACTGGCTTCCATGTATACTTAAGTCAAGTCTTTGTAGCTGAGGTAATGTTCAAACGCTTATATTTAAACGCTTCACTCTGTTGTTACCTGCACAGGTATTTCTTGTTCATATCACCTTAGTGTAAATATGTCCGTTGCTTTGAGAATGTCACGCATTAAGGACTTAGGTTCATATCACTTATGTAGAAAAAATAATTTAAAAATTAAAAAAAAATAATAATAAATTGTTAAATCTAATAACATAGTCGCCTACGTATTCTTTAATTTTCTCTTTATTTAATAACTAAATAAATACACCTTTTGAAAAAAAAAAAAAAAAAAATCTTTTGTTCATGCCTGGTTCGGTGGGTTGTTGGCTATATCTTCGAACGGCTAATTTAAAATAATTTAAAAATTAAAAAAAAATAATAATAAATTGTTAAATCTAATAACAAAGTCGCCTACGTATTCTTTAATTTTCTCTTTATTTAAAAACTAAATAAATACACCTTTTGAAAAAAAAAAAAAAAAAAAAATCTTTTGTTCATGCCTGGTTCGGTGGGTTGTTGGCTATATCTTCGAACGGCTAATTGACCCACTTCCCTGCAACCAATATAGCTGAAACGTGCAACATAGACTTAATGCCGATGATAAAACACTATTTTAAATTTTGTATCCCAACCCAAAAAAAATCATTTTTTCCTGTTTCTCAAGTAAGGAGATATGATGCCACTATCTTCACTAAATAAAATTCCCGATAACTGCGCTAAATGAGATTCTGGAGAATAAAAATCGGAAATGCGTTTGGTGCGTTATATTTTCTTGTTTTTCTGAAATAATTGGTGAAATAAGTCTGGATCATTAGAATATTAATATTTGTTCAGGGGCGTAAAAAAGTGCACTTATGAGACTTGGCAGGCGAGGAGGGGGGGGGGGGGAACAAATTAAAAATAAAATAAATTAAATTTTGAAATACAAACACATTCAGTGCATTATTGCGGGTTTTCACGTCAACGGCTCTAACTTATTAACTCAAATTATTGATTCTAGTTCCCGATTTCCACCCAATCCTTTAATCTAACCCTTAATAACCATATTCTGTTTAAACCATCGAACGTGTTTCACCACCTTGTTTCAAACCTCTATCTCTTTTAACCATCTACCTTATTTAACACTTTGTTTCCAACCCTATCTATTTTAAACCCTTACATGTTTCAACTTACTCCCTTTTTCAAGCCCTCCATGTTTCAACAAGCAACCTCCAACTTCCCCCCCCCCTACGCTTCTGCCCATTTTCAATTTGATTGCCCTATTTTACAAATGCCCACACTTTTAGTAATTTATTTGCAGACAGGATCTACATCCCCTCTTGCTGACACCAGCCACCCCAATAATTTTATAGATGCTAACGAAGCTCTCGAGGCGTTTGAGAACTTTGTCGCCCAAAGGGCGAAGGACGTAGTGACGTCATATGATCACGCAATGCTTTTTACAGCGTGAGTAATGCATATTTTCCTTTACGTAAATATATTAACGAAGTGTAGTAACGCATTTGCCTTTTCATAAAAGTTGAATAATCTTAATGTTGAAATAGAAAATAAAATTTGATACATGTACTTTTTTTCAAAACTAGAGAAACCCATTGAAAGTTTATTAAAGTGATATCAGCTGTTTGTTTTTTTCTTGTTTGATAACTTACACTGAAATTGTGCTGACAATCTACAAATGTCTTTCTAGATACAACCTTACAGATGGAACAAATACCAATATAGCTGGTAATGTTACGAAACTTAGAATAATTTTATGGTAAAATTTGATAATATGTCGTTTCATCATTGAGGAAAAGTGGTTGGGGGGGGGGGTAAAATATTTGACAAAACGGTATAGCCAACAACTTCTTTATGTCTATTCACCTCTTCGACAGCTTCGCTCCTCTGCAGACACGCGTATCCTGCCCGTTCCCAAGACACACACTAAAACATATGGTGAATTCTCTTTCTCTTTCTGTGTCCCCAAACAATGGAATTCTTTGCCACTACAAATACGCAATATCCAAACCACTCAGGCTTTCAAAACTGCACTCAAAACATATCTTTTTAAATTATACTATCCTGAGTGACTCCCCTCCTCTGACCCAATAAAGAATCTTGCTGGCGGTCGTCCATGGTTTGCCTTGTAAAACGTTATGTGGTGGGGTGGGTGAATATACATTTTTTTTTTGTGCTGTTCTTTATTTCATCAATGTATTTTATTTTAATGTCATGATTATGTCTCTTTTGATAAATTTTTTATGTACAGTGCGGTGAGCCCAGCCCTAGGCTGAGGTACCACGCTATATAAGACCACTTATTATTTTTATTATTATATCTCTTAGGGTTGAACAAACATGTAGATTTATTCAAGTCCAAAACTTATAAATAAAACACAGTTGCTGAGAAAAACACAGTTTTCAAAATATTTAGATTATTATACTTCAATAATCAATCTAATAGAAGACTGTTAGGTTAGTTGTATTAACAAATTAAAATGTAAAGCCAGACTTAGCTGAGGGCAGAATCCATGAAATCGTGACTTCAAAGGATGGAAAGAACCCAGGGGCGGTTTTAGGTTAGAGATGTCTAGTGAATCAAGAAAATTAAGCACATCTGTTTTAAGGGTAGTGAAAGGAAGTCAATAATTCATACGTACACATTCTATACTTAACTCAAATAAGTGCAACCTAGAGCAACGTTGTCAGGTGATTATTTGTAGTTTCGAATAGTAAATACATCTTCATATATTTATATATGTATATATATATGTATATTTTTTAATATATTTATTTATTTATGTATGAAAACGATGCGTAAAGTCTCCTATTCAATTCCAGTCCTTATTCATCTACTTTTTTAAAGACACGCATTGTCAAATAATGGGTTCCTTTTGGTTTCGGAATTTGAAATAAAAAATATATTTAAAAACCTTTTTTTTTAAAAAAAAGCCCCAAGAGTAATGAATTTTTTGGTCAGAATACAGAAGATTCTTTGTTGAATGTAAAGCAAAAGGGTAGAGATCACCAAAAGATATGTAATGTCAATTGAGTTGAAACAATAGTAACATTTGTCTTTTGGAATGGTGTGCTTTTCAGGAGAGAAGAAGAATTATTTCACCAAATGGAATGGTAGAAATATTTAAATAAAATAAACGTGATATGCATCTTTGATCAATGGCACTGAAGTTCATGGTTGGCTCTGGTCTTTACCATAGCATCCTTTCTCTGGTCTGTACATAGCATCCTTGCTCTGATCTGTACTATAGCATCCTTGCTCCTTGTACCATAGCATCCTATACCACCGTGATCGATGCTTGACTTTTCGTCTTCCCGCACGGCACCACACCTGACGTATTACCGTCTCCACACCATCTGTCCATCTCAGTCTCCGTTAAGCCTTGAACATTTCTAAGCTAAAAGACATTACCATATTTTGTGTTATTTAAGATTTAAATTCTTGTGATATTTAGTAAAAACAAATGATTAATTGGAATAAATAGCATTTTTTTTAAAAAATCCAAAGTCGGGATGACAGATAATTAGTGTTATTTCTAACAGCAACATTAGGATTGTGGTCACCAGAAATGAACAATATTCCCGTCTGTACAGGTTTTGCCTATGTCTCAACACTGTGTAGGACGGACGGCTCAAGTGTGTCGGTCATAGAGGAAATGAATGACTACGAAAGCATCATTATAGCTGCCCACGAGCTTGGTCATAGGTTCGTAGAGTGCCTGGTGAATACTATTTGTTATGGTACTGGGTAGTAGGTTCGTAAGTGCCTGATTTATACTGTTTTTTATGGTACTGGGTAGTAGGTTCGTAAGTGCCTGGTTTAAACTGTTTGTTATGGTACTGGGTCATAAGTCATATAGCTCGTTAAATAATTGTGTTCCTTTCCAGAATAGAGCATTTTAAAATAAACTAGCTTAATACCTTTGTGCGTGTACCGTGTATCGAGCGAATGAAAAATAAAATAGTTACCTTTCATAATACGTATTTTATTTTAAAATACTTTAACCTTTTATATTACAAATATTTCAAATTATTAAGTCTTTTAGTTTTTGGAAATCTAAATATCAGTAAATGAATCAATATACTTGGCTGATAAGTAAAAACACATGTTGCACTGAATGGATATTGCTAGTGATAAGTCGTAGGTGAATCAACGGCCATATTATTTGGTCGGATCCCTAAAACTGAGATATTATAAGCAAGTCAGTTTTCTGATTACATACTATGTAACCACAAAACTTACTATTTTTTTATGCTTTTCTACATCGTCTGGGGCATAGACCGTCTACTACAATTTTCCACTCATCACGGTCCTGTGATTTCCTTTCCAATTGCTTCCACGTGTATCCCATATTTTGCATGTCTTTTTCTAGCTGGCGTCCTCATGTATTCTTAGGGCTTCCTATCTCTCTTTTCCCTTGTGGGTTCCTTGTTAAAGATTGTCTTGTGATGCAATATGGGGTTTTTCAGAGAGTATGCCATATCCACATCCGTCTTTTCTTTATGATATTTTCATCAATGGGCATCTGGTAGATCCTTTCTAGTAGATCTTTGTTGGTGATTGTACTTGGCAATTTGATTTTCAGGATCTTTATAAGTCATGTGTTTATGAATGTCTGCACTTTCTGCATAAGACTCAGTGTTGTTTTCCAAATTTCTGCACCATAAAGATGAACATTTTTGACATTTGTATTAAAGATTCTGACTTTGGTTTGCAGTTTCAGCTCCTTCGACTCCAATATTTTCTTTAATAGCAAAAATGATGATATAGCTTTTCCAATTTTAAACTCCACCAAGGCTGGTTCCAAGCACGGATGCAAAAGGAGGAGGGTTGGCGTAAGACCAGCTGCCTCACCCGTAAATACAAATCGCTACAGAAACAAAAACTGACTTCCTTACATTTTAAAGAGGGTACACAGAGTGTATGCCTTGCCAATATCTGTCTTAAAATGCCCATATTCTATCTGGAGAAGTAAGTTTGAGATCTCCTCTGCCTTTAAATCGCTTCTTTGATAAACCTTCATTTCGAATCGCAAGGATCGGACTTTGAATTTAGGCCACATATCGGATGACTTATCATTTGTCCTCTTCGGCACGCGTTCCCTTTTTAGAAAAAAACTGTGCAGTGTGCGATGTTATGGTCTGAGGCTTTCGGGGATAAAAAAAAAGGCATTTATTTCCAAGGTAATGCTGAGGAGCTCTGTCTATTTCTTCGTTATCCCCTTCCTTATGGGGTGCACTCATCCCAAAGAAATCATCTTGTACCCTCGAAGCACATAGGCTGCATTATTTACTGATCATTTCATAAGAGACTGGTCTTTTTTCAAATTTTGTGTTTATTTTTTACGTCTGAAGAACTAATTCGTGAAGCTTTAACTACTTTGTCAGATAGGTTACTGCTCTACTCGCAGATAATATTGATTAACTTCATATCATGAGGCGGGTGGTGATGGAAGGCCAAACTTCTTAACTGTATGGTTTGACTTTGAAAAATAATACGTATTTCTAGGAGGCCAATTCTTAAACACGTCATCAACAGAGTATCTTCTTTATTAATCTCAACACCAAAGCAAGCTCAAGAAACAAACCTACTATTTCAACCAAAAAAAAAAGAAAAATGAAAGCCTGTGAAGCAAATCTTTATTGGTAACCATGTTTCGGCCCAAGTCATTTAAAGGCCACATAAGAGTTGCATTAGAAAACACGACATACAAACTTCCAGTGCACCTCCAGAGTACAAGAGGAATCCCCGTAAGACAATATCAACTTCAAAGGGCTTGTTGGCCGAATCGTCTAAACTGAGCAAACCTCAAGTTGGTGGTCTGGAGTTCAATTACAGCCAAATAGCTAAAACACCAACCCACCTGGATGAGACTCGTTAACCTTGGTCGGCAACCATCTAAGAGAAGGAAACTCTGCAGTTGGAGTCCCATAAGGCCCATGCAATGACAGTGTCTGCAACCGTACCCATCCCTGGTCGTCTTGACGAAGAGTCTCGCCACTGGATATGGTGGGCCCGGACAAGAGAGTGAGATTGACAGCGCGCAACTCTTTCTCACTTTAAACAAAAGTCACCCGCACAAGTCATCAGTCACTGGACGACGGACAAACAATAATAATCAAAATCTATGTGTTGATTAATATTTTACATTAGTGCTTAACCAGGTGCAGTTTTTTTTTCCACCAGGTACATGTATTTTGAGAAAATATCCGGTTAGTCCAAATGTTTTCTATCAGATGCCCTGTGTCAGAGTGAGAGTGGGCTGTCTTCGTCAACAGTTTGTGTCAACAAATAACTCTGATATGAACAGGCAGTTGCGGGATTCCGGATTAGCTGTGACGTTGTAGATGAAGCTCGCTGTGCAACAGAGGAATACTAAACATAATAAAACCAAATAATTGTCTGCACCTAATTAAAAAAAGTCAGCATATTAATCTGAGTCGAGACTTCACGCATGGACCTACCTCTTTGCATTACTGCTTTTTTTTTCGCTTAGTAACATTAAACTAATACAGAGCCAATAATTTTTTTTGTAGTTTTTTGGGGTTGGGGCGCAGGGAGCAGTCCTGAAGAAGAGACAAGACGAACCAGAATCAAAATATATATCAGAAATTAAAGAGATCAAGTTAGCTGTGAACGTCTGTAATTAAATAGAATTAAAGTATGCCTCATCGACATGAGAGCTCATTGGTTGAAAGATTTTAAGGCAGTTCATAATAGATAGGTTAAGGGAGCAGGTGTTGCAATTAAGTAAAGTGAAAGTCCATGTCTAAGGGACGTTTGTGTTCATTAGTTGAAGGCTGGGTTGGTTTTTTTTTATATTTATAAAATGACTTACAGAGAGATCGAAAGGGAACTATGAGAAATATATGTCGAGAGCTCGAGTCTACTGGACAAATGATGTAATTTGCTTGAATATAGAGAAAATGTCCCCTTTGCAGGAATTAGTCCATTTGGGAAACTATCGTTATTCATGTAAAATAAAGCCTAGTCTACTTTTGGTGAATGTTAAGTTTTCTATGTTTTCATTTCCAACAATAAATATTAACATTAATATACATAAATACAGGTTCTCAATAATTTTGACTTTCTGCTTGCGACCGGAACACACTGTTCGTTCACACTCACTATGACCACAGTCTCTCTGCGCATGCGCGCTCTTTGATCTAGTTGACTATCAGGATGGTCTAGTCCACTATAACACCTCCCAGAACAATTACAAAGCTTGTAACAATGGTACTTGACGTTGTCTTTGAGATCTTCTGGGTATGACATAGTCTAAAGGTCTTGGATGTCGATAGTTAATCTTCTTCTTCGGTGGACTTGGAGTTGCTGGATGTGTAGACGTTTGATGACTCAGGGCTGCCTGAGCTGTTGGATAAAGACTTCCTGTCATTATATCCACGCTTGGTTTTGAATCTTCTCCAAAAATGTCCTGTATGCAGGATTTAGAGAACTTGAGCTTGTAGTATTTTTGGTACCACAATTCTTGAACCATAAAATAGCCAATTTGACTCCACGGAGACTGAGTCTTGAACATTTTTAAAAGCTGCCATATTAGCTGCATCCTTGTTCAAGTCCACTTTGTTTGTAGCGGGCGGCCAGCCCTCTTGACAATATCTAATTACTGTAGGCACAGTAGTATATTTAAGTGACTCTTTAGCAAGGACTCCTGGGTCTGTTTGTCTGATCTGTTTACTGATTCGTTTGATCATACATATAGAATCCATGTCTGCTTCACTTTCTTCACCATCAAACATGTCATCAGGCCCTGAGGGGAGACGACTAAGAGCATCCGCATTGCAAAGTTCAGCTGACTTATGGATTTGTTCACAAGCTTTACTCAATGAGTTTTGATTACGAACGTGATTTATCTTTGTTTGAAACAGTGCGTCTATCGAAATCCTGAGGTTCTTTATTTTTGTTCTGCTCAACAATTTTAAGCTGTGATTTTTCACAGCTACAAATGACAGATTTGTAGTTATTTCCCCTGCATCAGCATGTATCTCAACACCTCCCAAGACATTAAGTTAGTCACCAGACCCCGACTCGTACTTAACAGATACTCGGCTAAATGTGGGTTGTCCCAGCTTTCGCCAAACAGATTCAGACATAAAATTTTCTCCGGCTCCCGTACCCATTTCGAATGCAAACCTAGTTCTTGAATAATGGGCGGGATAGTTTTTATTTGGTTTTTGCCTTCTTATTCTTTTGAGATGAATTCGTTTCTGTTTAGGAGGATTCTCTTTCTTATTAAGACAAACTCTTTCTAGATGTCCTCTCTAGTGGCAAAAGCGACAGATCATGTCTTTATACTTGCAGACATTTCCTTTATATCCTCTTCCTCCACACCTGCCACAAGTTCCAATCGGAAAATCCTGTCTTTGAGATGGAGAAAATTTCTCTGCTGTCTGATGTTGCTTATTTCTTTTTGTCTGAACCTTATTGATAGGAGTTTCATCATGGACAGATTCTTTGGCACATTTCGCCGCCTCCTCTGTTTCAACAGCTATTTCTACTGCCTTGTTGAATGATAATTCAGTGTCCTTCATCCTTAACACAATTTTCAATACAGCCTCGTTCTTAATGCAACACTTAAATCTTGTTCGTAAAGCTTCATCTAGAGCAGGGTTCTCAAACTCGTGGCCCGCAAGGCGGTATTTTGCGGCCCGCTACATGAAAGCAAAGTTTAGTCTTAATGCGCTCCGCACTAGTTGCACTTTATTGAATTTGTCATCGCTTTTTTGTGGAACTCTTAATTTGGCCCAGTCTCATTCAGACTCTACCTTCATCGGCCCAGTCTCACTCAGACTTAACCTCCTGCGGCCCAGTCTCACTCAGACTTAACCTCCTGCACCAAGTCTCACTCAGACTCTACCTTCATCGGCCCAGTATCACTCAGACTTAACCTCCTGCGGCCCAGTCTCACTCAGACTTAACCTCCTTCGGCCCAGTCTCACTCAGACTTAACCTCCTGCGGCCCAGTCTCACTCAGACTTAACCTCCTGCGGCCCAGTCTCACTCAGACTTAACCTCCTGCGGCCCAGTCTCACTCAGACTTAACCTCCTGCGGCCCAGTCTCACTCAGACTTAACCTCCTGCGGCCCAGTCTCACTCAGACTTAACCTCCTGTGGCCCAGTCTCACTCAGACTTAACCTCCAGCGGCCCAGTCTCACTCAGACTTAACCTCGTGCGGCCCCAACTCACAAGTGGCTGCATCCTGTCTCATTATAGCTGCCAATTCTTAAATTGTCTCCCCTGGTTTCCAAATTGAATCAGACCAGAATTTGATTCATTCCCTGATCGCAAATTTGGTCCGATCAAACTGATCCATCCTTACCCCATATACGTCTCCCATGGTCAAATAGTTTATGTTTTGTGGTGGGTCTCTTTGTTGTACTAGCGTTGACCATATTTTATGGAGTTCTGGGGTTTGGCTGGTTAAGAAAATGTGTGTCTGTGGCACATTATTTGCTAACTCGAAGGTCACATATCTAGCGTAGTAGTCCGTGAATGTTTCCTCATTACTATTGACACTTGTGAATTTCATATTACCAGCCGTAAGGCCCCGTTGCTAGTTTTAACAGTAACTCATTTTGCTGAATAAGCCTTTGAATGACGTCCATTTCAGTTACGCATACCTCTTTCGTTACGTGAAGTCCCTGGTGTTTATAAGTCTAACACTAGTCAATACTGGGTTGTACTGAGTTGTACTGGGTTGTATTGAGTTATACTGTATTGTAGATACTGGGCACCATTTGTTATGTCTTCGATGTTTTCATTTCCAACACTAAACATTAAAATAATTATACATAAATACAAGCTCTCAACAATGTTGACTTTCTGCTGCTTCTGTTCATTCACACACACTATGACCACAGTCTCTCTGCGCATGTGCGCTCTTTGACCTAGTTGGCTATCAGGACGGTCTAGTCCGCTAGTCCACTATAACAGTGAACTAATGTGCACTGTAAATCTACTCTTCCTGGTTTTTTAAACTGTTTGAGATTTTACTTGACATTCGTCTACCAATCCACGCTGTGTCGATCAGTCAAGCACTTTCAGTAAGAAGCACAAACACTTGACAGTGATAAACAACAAACAAACATTAATTGACAGTGGTCACTTGATCAGTGAGGGAGTGAGTAGGCGAGTGAGTGAGTGGGCAAATGAGTCAGTGGGCGAGTGAATCAACGACTGAGTATCCCAGTGAGAGCTATTGACTTAAATATATATATATGCATATGTATAGTTGACACAAAGAGAATAGACCCATTTCCCCCCATTTTTTTCCAGTCTCTCAGCACAGCATGATGGCGATGACAACTACTGCTCCTCGTCCGACCGATACATCATGGCGGCCGTCACCGGCACTGCTGAGACGGCGTCGACCGTGTACCACCCATGGCAGTTTTCGACATGCAGTGTAGAAAGTTTCAAATCGTATCTGAATCAACAGCTATTGACGTCGTAGGTGGCCAGATGTTAGGCTTTAGGCAACTAAACAGCGGATCAAACCGTTCATTTCAGCTATTTACTATTAACTTTGAAATTAAATGATTAAGATCAACTATGCTATCATACTTTCTTTTTGCCACCAGGCTCTAGTTATTCAATCCCGAGACAAGTTTGCATATAATAAATAACTTTGGTTTCAAAGCCATGAAAACCTGCATGTGGATGTGATTTTTTTAGAATTTTTCAAATAATAGAGCTTCGCGTATAAGTTAAAAATTTTAAACTTTTAACGGATCTATTTACCAGCTAGAGAGTAAGTTAAACAGTAAATGGCTTAGTGTCCATATGTTTTACAGACGAGGTGTAATATGTCTGGATGGTCATCCACCGATGGACAACACTATTCCGGACGTGAGTGGACGTCTGCTAGGACAAGAGATACCACCTGACCAGCAGTGCCAGGCAACTCACGGGCCAGACTCCAGAGTCTGTAGAGTGAGTTAAGAATTCAGTATTGTATTTTATGATGTTTGCATTAAAATTTCTCAACTTTGCACATAAGTAAAAATCTATAATAAAGTAAAAATATTGTAAACCCTATTAGAGGGCGTCTGTTAAACACCGACGCGTCACTCCGGGGTGGGAAGCGGGGACTTAGAGACGTACAATATATCCACCCCAGCCCCTAGAAAGTCCGGCCCGGTTTTCCTTCTCTGATTCCGCATCACTCGCATAGTCAATTGAGTGGAAGGGTGGGTGTGGCTGTTTGGGGGGCGGAATGACCTGGCGTGCCGCTACGCGGCCCGACTGAAATAAAGACCACTGGGGCAGTGGTTGAGGACTGGTCGGGTTAGCGGGGTAGGGTGCTGGGGAAGTCTTTATGAGCTCTGGCTCGATAGTTTGCTGATCTTCTTAAGTAGTTTAGTTAGCAAATATATTTCTAGTTTCTTGTGTTTTCAACATTATATAAATAGGACATGTTCACTTTTGTCGGCAGAATGGCTCGAAGCCAGGCGATATTGCTGTAACCAATCGTCCTGGATACCAATTCCGTAGGGGGATAACACAGACTCAATGACTATTCCGTCAACTCATGCGGCGCCCCTGGTGCCACGCTATTCATCCTATTAAAATTAATTAGGGTCATCGGCTGCGTGGAGACGAGAATCTAATTGCTGAGAACTAACTAAGTCTCCATAAAACCACAGGCAATTTGATTTCGCATCTACCAGTGAAGCAAACCCCACTGGCATCTAATTGAGACGGATGGAACCCCCCCCCCCTAACCTGGGGATCGTAAGGCCCCTTTCCCAGGGGTTGCCTAAGACCATCTGAAAACACATATACTCTACAGTTATGATTAGCAACAAAAATAGCTTTGAGGCTTGGGATCGCCAAAACATGAGGAACTGCATTAAAGGGTCGTGGCATTAGGTCAGTTGAGAACCACTGCTCTAGATCCACTTATTGTATAATACGTTATCAGGAACTAAACTGGGGTGCTGGGTGTCGGAGCGGTCTCAAATGAGTCAATCTCTAGTGAACTGAAGCACAATCCCCGTCAAAATCCTAGCCAAACTAAAACTCTATAAGCTCCCCTTTTGGATGGGATTTGATAACCTTGGATGGCGACTCAACTAAGAGAGGGAGAACGCTGAACTTAAACCCGGAGATGGAGTTCCGTAGGCGGATATCCTTGATAAAATATATATTCATGTATATACCATAAAATTTGTTAGCAACTTTAAAAAAATGGATTGCACTTGTGCAACTAAGTGTCTGAATTGTACCCATAATACTTACAGTATTATATTTACAATTACTATAAAGGGTGTACAAAAGATTGGGTCAGATGTTTGCCATGCTTTGTATTGCTTGGATACTGGCGATTATCTCTGCTACCCAAAAGCAGCATTGGACGGTACAACATGTGGAAATCTCAAGGTGAGTACTGAAAGTTTGGAGACGTGGAAATATCTTCTTTAAAGAAAAAAAAACTAAAACAGACCATGTTTAGCAGTAAACTTTAGTTATGTGGCTTAACTTGAGGCCTGTGGGAGCCTTTCTATATAATACTGTTCGTTATATAATCGAATGAGGCCAAAACAGTAACTATTATTTTCTCGAATATATTTTTGATATTTATTTTTATATTTATGCTTGAACCAGATCTGTCGGTCCGGGCAGTGCGTCTCAGATCCACAAGCACCGACAGCGGACGGTAAACATAATTCTTTTATACTCTTAATTCAATTTTATACTGAGCGATGGGAAATCTGTATAACTGCTCAACTAAATTTTCCAAAGATTCAAAACAATTATCAATGGGGTCAAAGGAAGGTTTGGTTAATATGCCGTGTGAGAACACTTGAGGTTACAGGCGGTGGTGGGTGGTTTTGTTTTTTTTTTAATAGAGAATGTGACGATGCTATGATCTGAAATGTAATAGTATTTTGTCCTGCTTACACGCTTGTGATCGTTGTGTTTAAATGGTCCATCATTTTTTTTGCAGAGAGCTGTGTGTTTGGAGATCAACCAGGCATCGTGTGGCAGGGAATGACTTGTCCACAGTTCGTAAACTACTTTAAAGGAGTTTGTTATAATGCACAAAATCAAAAAATCTGCTGCAAGTCCTGTCGAGATGCGTACAGCACACTTAGAGGTAGGCTTATTTAACTGGAGTGGTCGCTAGTTGTGAGCATTAAATTGCTGGATTTTAAAATGGTTCAGCCGTGATGCATTGAACGCTCTAATTAATTTGTTTCTTTCATTTGACTTTTTTTCGTGACTTTATCCCTAAATTTGATACAACATTTGTTATAAATAGGCATTTAGCATGTGAGGTGAGGTCAAATAAAAGTATTTTATTTATTTGAATAAGTATTTTACGAATTATATTATGGAAGGTGTATATTTTACGTTAGTATGCATATTAGAAAGGTTGATATTTTAAGATCATATACATATATATAAAAATGCAAAATATTTAACTTTCATCTATATATATACATATATAGGTGAAAGGTAAATATTTACAATAATATGTATGTAATGAAGGTAGATATGCTAGGGCAGCTGTTCTCAAACTGTGGGTCGCGACCCCTTCGGGGGTCACGGGACCCTTTTCCAGGGGTTGCCTAAGACCATCTGAAAACACATATCCTTACAGCTATGAAGTAGTAAGAAAAATAATTATGTGGCTGGGGGTCGCCACGACACGAGAAACTGTATTAGAGGGTAGCGGTACAAGAAAGGTTGAGAACGACTGTGCTAGGGGGTTGGATTTTTAAATATGTTAGTATGGTATGTATGTTAGGATAGTAAGAAGCTTAAGATAGTAGGTATGTTGGAATAAAAAGCAGGTTGAAAAAGTAGATGTCTTAAGACAGTTAGCATATATATTATATATATATAAGAATGACTGACATAACGCTAAAAGTGAGATACGATATAAGTACGCTCGGATTCCTAAAAACAATCATAGTTATTTTCGTTTATTTTACGGAAATCGAATAAGTTTTAATGCGCAAAAAATATTTTAAATCCACTTTTTTTTAATTAAACGTTTTAGTATTATTATTATAAATTACAAATGCATTTAAAGTATCAACTAATGATCTATTTTAAGCATTTTATATGTGTTTGAAAGTTATTAAAAAATTAAAAAATTAAAAAAAGATCATGATCACAGAATTAGACCGTAATCACATTAATCGGGAAAACCCAAACATCGGTTGTTTTTAGTGCGTTGATTTAGTGCTTTGTTAATATTGCGAAATAAATATAAAATTAATTTGTTCTAAATAATCACGCAAATGACGTCATAGTGCGAATAGCCTATTTCACCGATACTCTCAGGTTTCTTTAAATTTAAAACACGCGCGTGACAAATTGATCATGTATTTTCCTTCTTAAAACTAAAATTAATAAATACAATTGACTGCTTTTTAAATTGTTAGTAAAATACACTCAGTTTTGTTTTGTATATTTTAAAAATTAAAAAGTATTGCCTTTTTTTAATTCCAAAAATATACTTTTATTAAATTTATAACGCAATAAAAAATAAGCCTTTAAATATAATTCAAATAAGAAAATGCTGTTTTAGTCAGTCATTGCAGCACAACTCCATAGCCAAATATCATTTACTATTCAATTTACAACTCGTACAAATAAGAATAAACCATATTAGGTTAAAACAAATGTTAGTTTGAGTATGGAAGGGACTACAATCCGGGGGAAGATTTTCTAAATCTCATTTCAATCTCGGTCGGGGGAGGGGTGGTTCAGTTTGCCCCAGGCAGCACAAAATACGTCTCAAAATAAAGGAATGAATTTGATAAATAATTAACCGTCTTAGGTACATTCATATCGGAGTTAGGATATAGGATGTGTACATTTATACATGGAAGACAATATATTTAAAACCTGTGGTACCGGTATTACATTTTTGAATAAGAGGTACTACATTCTCTATTTACAAATATGGGTATGCTCATTTTGTCCAAGGCAGCACAAGATTCGTCTCGAAATAAAGGAATGAATTTGATAAATAACTTAACTTCTTGGGTACATACATATCGGAGATAGGAAATATTATGTTTACATTTTCACGTAGATGATAATATATTTAAATTCTATGATATTATATTTGTGAAAAAGGAGATGTTACATTATCTTTTAACAAATATGACCTATATGTATGTTCATAATGCTCAAGATAGCACAAGATACGTCACAAAATAAAGGAATGAATTTAATAAATTATATAATTTTCTTGGGTAAATAAATGTCGGAGTTAGAAAATAAGATGTGTACATTATCACGAGGATGAAAATATATTTAAATTGTATGGTATTACATTTTTGAAAAAAAAAAAGATTTTTAATTCTCTTTTTACAAATAAACATTGCGTTAACAAATCTTGGGTACATTTATACAAGTATACCCATGAATATCAAAATCCAATCATTTTACACACTTGAAAAATTAATTTTGAAAAACAGAGATTTAGTTAATATTTACTTTCAAAAACTGAAAATATTTTTTGTTTTTACTTTGCAAAAAAGTAAAGCGATGTGGATTTTTATGAGAATAACGATATTTTTTTAAAGACACTAAAATCTGTTATAGGTGTGAGAAACGGTTGCGAGATTCTGCTTTAGATAAAAGAATTCTTTGTTTTACTATTTTCTAATAATGGTAAACTTTTTTAAAAAAGGCAAAAATGTGTTTAAATTTTTGATGAAGATATCAATATATATCGAATTCCTTTGATAGAAAGCATATATTTAAATGATATAAAGCGTTTTGCTGTAAATTTCAGATATTGTTTTTTAACAATTTTTAGAGAAAAAAAAATGTAATTCAATTGCACGAAAATGGGTAAATCTAAAGTTTTTCTCTAGCGTAGTAATTGTCTCTCCATTAACTTCTTTAGTGACAAAAGTGGTATAATTAGTGATAATTTATATTGGGTAATTTAATATCATGTTGAGAGGGAAAAAAGTAGTTTAGGGGCGTTAAAGTGAGTAGGTAGGCGTATAATATGTAGCAAATAAATACTTCTCAAAACTTAATGATGTTAGAAATGTAAATATCATTATATTTTTAAAGTTATAAATTGGGATGAATTTTTGCAATAGCAGATATAAATTTTCGCAAATGACCTACCATTATTATCCCGATACCATCGGGTTAATTATTCTAGTATATAAGAATAATCTATAATGATCGTAACTCCAAAAAATTTGAAAATGTGCGTATACGTTCGGATTCTTACAAACATTAATAGTTATTTTCTGTTATTTTACAAAAATCGAATACCATAAAATGCACGAAAAGCATTATATATAAGCTTTTATTTTAGTAACAGTTAAAGTATTATTATATTATTAGAAATTACAAATACATTTAAAGTAACAATTATGAAATGATTTTAAACATGTTTCTCGAATCTAAAAGTTTTGAACACAATTATAAATAAAAAAAATATGATCTCAGATTTGCATCTTAATCAAATTTATCGGAAATTTCAAACATCTGTTATTTTTAGTGCGTTTTTGGTGCGTTTTGATATTGCAAAATAAAAATAAAATTAATATAATTTCAATAAATACGCAAATAACGTCATAGCCGTAGGTCTAAGTTTCTTAGGTTTAATAAACGTGGGTAACAAAACTGTTGATGTATTTTACCCTTCTTAAAAGTAAAATTATTAAATATAATTGATTGCTTTTAAAATTGCTAAAATTTGCTGAAATAAAATACTACTTTAGCTTTGTATTTTTAACTTTTAATAAGTTTTATTTTTTATTTATTACAAAAATATAACTTTATGAAATTTATAAAGAATTAAAAACTTAACCTTTAAACAAACCTTTAATTTTTTTTTTAAAATGACGTTGAATACAATGAGTGCAGTGAAACAACATAGCTAAATAGCATTCACTAATGCAGTTATCCCTAATTCAAATCAGAACAAAGCGTATGAAATGTAAAAAAAAAAATTGTTGCGGACGTAAAGTGGTTACAAACCCGTGGATGATTTTTCGTTTAAGACACGGTTTAGGATTTGCGCCTATCGCTCTAAACATAACTAATGCTGGTTTTCAATTAGCTCTTTTTGGTTTAAAAAAAATATATTTTTCTATCGAAATACCAAAAGCGTTTTTTAAGAATATTTATGCAATTCTGGGCACATGAATTACAGGTAAATTAATATTTTGAAAAGATACGTTTTTGTTGTGAAACTAAAAAAATTTCTTGACATGATAAAATCCTGCAGGTTGTGAATACGGAGACCGATTTACGAACTGCACAACACAATTTTGCTCTCAACTCCCCGTAGACTGCTGTGGCACTTGCAACAACGGTGTCCCTTTCACCACCAAGCCAACGACCGCTGTCACTGTCACGTACGCACCGCGCCTTCCAACACAAAATCCTGATCCTGGAGGTGAGCACTGTTAAAACTGTGCTAATGTTCTTCAAATTAAATTTTTTTTTTTTTATATATAAGTCAGACTTCTCTTAAATTGTCACGCTTAATCCTCTTTAGCTCTAAATTTATTTTAAAGTACTTATTTATCTTAATCGAATTATACACCATTATTTATACTCCGGAGGAAAGGAATATAAAAAAAGGGAACAAAGAAAATGTTTGTATGGAAAATTAAAAATATATTTCGGCCCATGGGGGAATCTAGGATTTCAATTGTCAGGATGATTTGGCTGAATGGGCCTGAGGGGGTTCCCGTTACCTTTCTTTAAAATTAATTAACACGCCCGGGTCTCAAAAAATGAAAAAAGGCCATTGTACAATTGATAAACTTAAAAAAAATATTAAAAATACTGTATCTAAAAATGAAAAAAGAATTACCAAACGATAAGTAGGTAAGATATAACCCCCCCCCTCCCACACCCCCAAATTTTAAAAAAAATTTAAAAGTAAATAAAAAAATTAAATTCACAGAAATGATCTTAACTATAATTAGATATCTCCATGTATCTTGTTATGACTTGACAACCATTTTTCACTTTTGACAAGTTCGCTCTATTGCCTTGTTCACAGTTCATTAGCATCCATGCTCGAATTTGTGACCTGATAATCTTAAAAGCAATAGTCTGTCTTTAGATGTTAGTTCCGGAAACTTCGTTTACACGAAAATTCGGATGGTAGAAGAGGTGGTAAAAAATTGTAACAAATAAATAGTATTGGATATGCATCTGAATAGAAATTATAATTGGTCAGTACAGTAAAAGGCACAATTAATTTCAAGAAGTAATATTTTCTGAAGTCATTTTGGTCTGAATGTGTCTAGATCCATATCCTTGTTTCTGTTTATAATCGCTGTCTTCGTTATGTATTATGTGTTACTTATATTGTGATTTCAGTGGCTTCTGTAAAATCGTTCATGAAATGGTTAAAGTTAGAAGTAAAATCTTAGATTCTTCGTGAATTCTGATTGCTCTCGCTTTAACGTTAAATGGCTGCTTTTTGATGCAGAAAAATCCGAAATAGCATTGGAGACTCCACCATGTTCATTGAAATCGCTCGTATCGAGAGATGACATGGTTGCAGCTATCTACCCATTTATTCTACATCTTTTTCAAAAATTATTCAAAAAGGCCTTAATTATTTTTTTTTAATTAATTCTTCTTGAACTAAGAAAGTATTCCGGTTCTGCTGACATGGGAAACAACAGGAATTAGGTCTAAAATATACACCGAAAAGAAAGGCCGCACTTCAAAATGATTGTTATAAGGAAATCGGATCCTAATATTTTCCCGAATGGATTAGCTCGCCATGGTTGTCGTCTAGAAGTTCTAGGCCAAAATCTTCCAAAACTTTTCATGTGTTTCAAAGAAAGTTTCGATTTTTAAAAAAAAATGTCAAATGAAGAATTTTTCTATCCATCAGAAAAGCGTCTCTTTTAGCCTTCTATAAGATTTTCCTTATATCTGTCTCTTAGAGTTTTCCATAAGACTTTCCTTATATCTGTCTCTTAGAGTCTCCCATAAGATTTTCCTTATATCTGTCTCTTAGAGTTTTCCATAAGACTTTCCTTATATCTGTCTCTTAGAGTCTCCCATAAGATTTTCCTTATATCTGTCTCTCAGAGTCTTCAATAAGTTTTCCTTATGTTGTCTCTTAGAGTCTTCCATAAGACTTTCCTTACATGTGTCGAATAATGCGGCTGCATTCGAAGACTCAAACATGATGCACAAAAATCCAAACAACTTTCTAAGGTGTACTGGCATTTGACGGGTTGCAGCATCTGTTAGGCTAGAACCCCATTCTGCGTATTTATCAGCTATTAGTTAAGATAACCCTCGACCATTTATACTCTCGAAAGATGTTACTTCTATAACACTCAGAAGGAGAATTCAATTTTTCGCTATCTGTGGAATTATTATTATTATTATTGCCAATCGCAGAGTCGTGTCTTCTAAGACGGTGTTTTCTTTTTAATTTTTTTTTGTAATTGCAGGGATATGTTTTAGTGATTGGGAATGGTAATTTATAAATACTCTCAAACTTTAGGGTCGTCCTGATTTAACTTAAACCGAGACAGAAGTTTGGACATAATAGATTTTTGCAGTACAGCTTCATTTTCCGTACAAGGTACAAAACGTATTGTGTGCTTACTGCTTGAGTTTTCTACTGCGTTCTTTTCTTTGTTATATTTTCATTTCTATTGTTGGCTGATGAAGGCTTTATGCCGAAACGTCCTTGTTTTTTGTCCTGTTACCTTATTTCAAGCTTCCACATACCTCGTTTCACTATTTCATTCCTTAGGATGGGCATTTTATCTTTCCACATGATTAGTTTGGTGATGCATTTTGCATTTCTCAGGCTCCAGCATGTTTCAGTTACAATAACATATCGAGTTTGCAAGTAGCTTTTTACTTTGCTCCATTTAATGGTAGCTTCCTATTCTATGCGAACATTAACACATTCTTCCCCTTCGTAAAGGTATTTGAAAAGGTATTGAACGTTTCGAATTGAGCTACAAACATCGAAGTTAACATGAGCATTGTATTCCAGATACAGGTATGGGCTGTATGGCATGGTGACCCATTTGTTATCCACTTTGTTTCCTCAACTTTCAATACTCTTGGCGTCATCTCGTCGTTGAGTGCTTTGGAATAGTTTGACAGTGCTGTTGGTCTCGCTACAGAAATCATTTGGTAATTCTTTTGGTCAATTTGCCTTTTTGCGGACATGGTGAATTCGGCTTTTACGGATGACATGCACCGTGTATCATACAGGATTTTATATTTTGATGTAGCCTCCAGAGGCCTCTTAATTGGGGATTTCTGCTGAGACAATTTGTCGATTCTGTCAGTCTCCCACGCTTTGTCTTCCAGGGCCATCAATAGCAATATATGTATGTGCCCCTGTGTCGTAGACCATGACTTTGGAACTTGATTAGGTAGAGCATAGCTCTAAATCCTCCGCATCTGTGAAGCTTGGTCGAGTCTTAAGGTAGCAGATTTAGTTTCAACTGAAATTCTCTTGTTACTAAATCAGGCTTTTTGCATAGTTGCTGACTTTAAAGAACGTTCTCCATTATTTCCCTTCATTTAGCATAGCTTGAATGTTTCAAATAAGTTAGGTTTGTCATTTTTCCTGCTGGCCATGAACATAGCTTCTCGGTAATTTTGAGTTACATTTCTGGGACACCCAATAAAGGTTGATGACAAAATAACTTTCTCTCCTGGCAATATGTTAACGTTATAAAAATTGTGGTTGTTCACAAGTAAGCGAATTTCATCATAGTCTTCAGCTCTTATGGTATTTTGATTTTTTTTCTTCCGAAACCCATTCAAATGCGTTACCACGGTCGTGAAATAGACATCAACAATGAATTTGTATGTCAGCTTTCCTGCGATGAGGAACTGGTCAAAGTCTCCATCGTGAATTGCAAAACGGTAAGAATATCATTGGACATGTGACACATTTCCTTGACCAACAGCTTTCTTTTGATCTGTGATCCACCCTGACTGCCCATATGGGAAAACCAAAGGGTAGCATATTGTGTCACAGAGTTTACTCAGTATGTATATAGTGGGTAAAAGTGTGCTTTCTGGATACACCATCTGCCCTGTGACAAACGGCAGCTTGTCTACTCTGGCAGAGGCAGCGCTGTTTCTCTCAAGGAGCTCATGAGTTACTCTTTGTATCAAGAGTTTCATGCTATAGTCAATCGGCGTTCGGTTTTCCCCAATTGACCTATAGAAATTCGTTTTGTTCAAATTTTAGCTTTTTAAAGCCGAAAACGTCACCAATACAAACCACAAATGAATAGGTACACAATTAATCTCTACGCCAAATGCGCTCACTAAATAATACATATACCTATGATGGACACACTAACTACGGCGTTATATCATAGGTACACATACATATATAGTTCATAAATTATTGCAGGGCGTTTTTCTGGTTAAATCGCAACAGTTGTGAAAATAAACTAAGCGATACTGAATGTAATAAATATGACTAGTAGCCTAATAACAACTAATCTAAAGCCTTGCATTTCATGTTTGATATCACTATATAAACTATTGAACCATTAGGTCGATATAGGCAAGTAGTATAGAGTCATTATGCATAGAAATTATTTTGTTGACAGACGACGTTTGCCGTAACAGAGAGTTGAGCTGCTACTTTCTCAAAGACGACGCTGTGACCCAGTGCTACGACTCGGTGTTTAACAGAAAATGCTGTCAGTTTTGTCAACAGCACCTGACAAAAATACCAGGTAACGTCAGTTTTGTCTAACACAATTATCAGGTAATGTCAGTTTTGTTAAAAGCATCTAACAGATACACCAGGTGATGACAGTTTTGTCAACATACTCGGACAAAAATGCAAAGGTCATTTCAGGTTTTTTTTCCCCCAAAAGGTAAAGGTTATAAATACCAATAATTATGTGAGTGATGTCAAGAACACAGCATAAGGTAATGTCCGTTTTTATCAACACCGAACACTGTGATGTCTCAACAGGACGTTTTGTGACTAATTTAAGACATGTTCTAAGTTTAATTTATTTAATTCATCCAAAGAAAAATGTTGGAAAAAAAATTCCATGTTATTTTCCAATATCTCTTGAAACTATATATTCCATTTGAGATCACTGGCTCTTAAACCACCGAGGAAAAGATAGTTCTAGTGTTTCAAGGTGCTCCATAACCCGCAAATATATTATATTTTTTAATGGAATTTATCGATAGCACGAAGCATTCTCAAGGCCTTCATTTCTGCAGTCTTGCAGGTGACACAATGTGATTCAAACTTTAGCTGGTTTCTAAATATACATGTTCCAGAAAAAAAGATGTACCACAGCCAACCTGTCATCAATCATTTGCTTTGGTTTTTGTTTTGTTTTGCTTTCGTTTTTTTTTTATTGTTTTCTTTTTTTTTCCCACTGCATTTTCCTTTTGTCTTTGATTTTGAATTCGTCTTTAAATTATTTTTTTTAAAATAAAAATAACACCACCATCAAAAAGAGAAAAGAAAGAAAAGTAAAATCTTCTTTCTACTGGAATTATTGATGTCATTTAATAAGGTTTGCCACATCAACCACCGGTTGTGCTGCATTTCTACATATTTCAGCATTTATTAATAAGTAGAGTAATCCGAAGAAGTGAATTGATCCAAAAGAGTAAAGTAATCCCAATAAAATGAATGATCCCAAATGGAGTAGTCCCAAAATGAGTAATAGGAACAGATTAATATCAAAAGATTTTTACAAAAAAAGATTAACCCAAATAAAGTACTACAAGTAGGACGTGCCGATTATAAGATTACTCTAAATAAGATGTTATTTCTTTTACTTTTTTTATTCCAGGCTGCGAGTATGGTGACCGAAGTCCTCAACTTTGCAGAGATAGAAGCGTTTGTTCTTGGAATGCCTACCTGTGTTGTCAGTTTTGTATACCCCCCTCCACCACTGGTTACCCTTCTATCGTGACCACTGACGAGTCCGGCGAGTCCGGGGCTGCATCTGGATGCTCATTTGGGCCACACACTATTTCTTTGATACTTTTAGTAGTGTGTTCAATGTGTCTAGCCTATTAGTGATGATGGCTATTTTGTTCAATGTGTCTAGCCTATTAGTGACGATGGCTATTGTGTTCAATGTGTCTAGCCTATTAGTGACGATGGCTATTTTGTTCAATGTGTTTAGCCTATTAGTGTTTGTCTTTGCTATTTTGTGTCCAATGTTTTTTTTAGCCTATAAGTAATGATCTTTGCAATTTTGTTTCAAATAGTTTTGTAGTGAGAAATAATCTACAACTGTAAAGTGAATGATACAAATGAATCTGTGGAAAAATGCGACACATAAAATGTGAAAATCTGAAACAAAAGGACGCAACAAAACAACCAACGTTTCGGCAAGAAGTCTTCCTCGGCGATCAAACAAATATAGTAATTAAAATACACTTGGCTGCACTTTATTATCTGAGAACAGCGAGGGGAATGCACCAGATAAGGGTCACGGCGATTGGTTGTAACAGCGAGGGGAATGCACCAGATAAGGGTCACGACGACTGGTTGTAACAGCGAGGGGAATGCACCAGATAAGGGTCACGGCGACTGGTTGTAACAGCGGGGGGAATGCACCAGATAAGGGTCACGGCGACTGGTTGTAACAGCGAGGGGAATGCACCAGATAAGGGTCACGGCGATGGGTTGTAACAGCGAGGGGAATGCACCAGATAAGGGTCACGGCGATTGGTTGTAACAGCGGGGGGAATGCACCAGATAAAGGTCACGGCGACTGGTTGTAACAGCGGGGGGAATGCACCAGATAAGGGTCACGGCGACTGGTTGTAACAGGGAGGGGAATGCACCAGATAAGGGTCACGGCGATTGGTTGTAACAGCGGGGGGAATGCACCAGATAAGGGTCACGGCGACTGGTTGTAACAGCGGGGGGAATGCACCAGGTAAAGGTCACGGCGACTGGTTGTAACAGCGGGGGGAATGCACCAGATAAGGGTCACGGCGACTGGTTGTAACAGCGGGGGGAATGCACCAGATAAGGGTCACGGCGATTGGTTGTAACAGCGGGGGGAATGCACCAGATAAGGGTCACGGCGACTGGTTGTAACAGCGGGGGGAATGCACCAGATAAGGGTCACGGCGACTGGTTGTAACAGCGGGGGGAATGCACCAGATAAGGGTCACGGCGATTGGTTGTAACAGCGGGGGGAATGCACCAGATAAGGGTCACGGCGACTGGTTGTAACAGCGGGGGGAATGCACCAGATAAGGGTCACGGCGATTGGTTGTAACAGCGAGAGGAATGCACCAGATAAGGGTCACGGCGATTGGTTGTAACAGCGGGGGGAAAGCACCAGATAAGTGTAACGGCGATTGGTTGTAACAGGGAGGGTGGTGAGGAAAAAAACAACAACAAGTGAAGCAGAACTCGACATTCAAGTCTTGTGGTGTCACGATATTTTAAGTGTGTATCACTTTGCTCTCGGAGTTCACAGGGGTGTTTATTTGAATTTCTATACGTTTTTTTTTTTTACTGTTTTTTGTTCGCTGGCGAAGGCTTCTTGCTGACACGTTATTTGATTTGGTGCGTCAATTATTAAACGACAGTTGTTCTCATACTTTGTTTCATTTATTTCCTTCCGCCTAAACTGTTTTCAATTTCTCCATTTTATTATAATTTATTTCTTGTTGAGTTTCTCATTTCTTAGATTTTTGCTTATTAAAGGGGGTAAGGAAAATATTATTTATGTTAAAAATATGTCATAAATTGATTTAAAATATGAGAACGTGTTTGTTTACGTATTTAATTTGTATAGTTTTTAATGAATAAAAAGGCTGTTAAAATGTGTTTAGAGATCAATCCCTTGTTACTACCGTATTTTGCGCATTGTAGGATGCACCGTAAATAAGAAGCACCCGTATATCAGACGCATCCTGGGAGCGGAGTGTGTACAACTTTATATAAAACGCGTCTTATATACGCCAAAATACGAGGGTAGTTCCCCCCCCCCCCAGCAAAGCGCTGTTTGTACATAACCAGCTAATATCCTGATATCAAAAGGGGACCAACATTTTCTCTTTTACTTGTGTATTCTTTACAGGTCAAAACATCTAATTACGAATTCTTTTACGCAATCTTTACACGCAAATATTCCAGTATTAAACAGAAACTCGTCCCTCTCCCCCATAGACAGCGACGAGGCCATGACAGGCAATTCAGGCTCATACCAGCAAGAAGCCAGTATAGGAGCTGCTCATTCCTGCCCAAGACAATCAGGGACTGGAACCATCTTTCAAAAGTAACAGGACTTGGAGCTGCCTGGGAATTTTTAAATTTAAAATGGCGACGCATATTCCTTATTTAGAAAAGTCCACCCGGCAATACTTCATTTTGCAAATATTTTGATTTAAACTGAGCTACTTAAGTTTTTGCCAATCAGTGTGTGCCATTCAGTGTCAGGGCCCGATTTAGACTTGATGAGGCCCTAAGCTATATGAGATATGGGGCCTTTTATAAGTCCAGATATGCTATGTCAGAGCCAAATATGAATTTCGGATACCTAGAGGGGCTAAACTGAAATACAATTAAGTATTAAGACGGTGAAATAATAAATCTGTAATTTAAAATCAGTTTTATTTATAACAAACTAAAAAATGCAAACTCTGTTAAAAAGAGACAAAAGGCACAATTTAAAAAAAGTTTTTTATCAAATCTCTTGAAACATGTTATAAGGATTAATGAATTACGGATTAATTAAGGATTAAACTAGGGGTGTGCCGGACCCCGGTCCGGAATCCGGTTCCGCCGGATTTTGCACTATCCGGTGAAATCCGGTTCCGCCGGATTTACATGTATCCGGAACAACCGGATTCCGGAATCCGGAATATACCGGATTTCGGAATTTGCCAGATTTTGTGACTCACCGGATCATAATCTGAAATAAAAGTAATTCTCTTTCCCGAATTTCACACGATCACGATACATTAATCGATTGTTTCGAGCGTTGAGCTTGTTTAATGTTTAATATTCCGTACATACCAGAGGCTAGAGTCAGCACCGCTAATAGTGGCCAATAGTGTAGGGACTTTGATAAGAAAATTTAAACTTTTTGTAAAAATAAACCAATGGCATAGTTGAAAAGATGTAATTTTTTAAAGAATTATAACACCAAAATCATATTTTTAGCTGTTGTAGTTTTAAAGTTATGAATTTTTAAAGTACGACTTGGTTTGTCATTTTTTAACATGGACTGCATCTCCACATTCTGTGATCTCATTCCACCAATCCCGTCATGCGCAATGACTATATAGTTTATATAAGGCAACGCATTCCCTGCCTTATCACTAAAATACTGTTTAGACTTAGTTTAAACTTTCAACTTTGGCACATGAATAATTAATTAAAGCTTTCCCTGACCAATGGTTTAATAGTTTTTGCACACGGCAAACTCTTATGAATGAAACTCTGAGGTAGTACTACGATACAGTTATGCAAGTGGCTGTGAATGGTTGCCAATGACAACGTGTTGCACACGGTAAATTCTGATCATTTATAATATGGATTCTACCGGGTTGTTAAAGCTCAAATTAAAACATTCCAGTTTAAATGTCTTTAAATGCATTCTGAAACACAAGTTATCAATTATTTTGATGTAAATAGTGATAATAAATTAATATTTCCTAAGTATCGTCAACTTCCGCCATTAAAAAGGGGGGCGTGGCCAACCCCATGGCGAAATTAGGTTGAGCGAGCTGCATAACCTGCTGCGAACGCGTAGAAACATGGCGTCTCTCGTAAGACACTTATCCAAATGGAACGGAACTCAAATATATATCGAAAGTACTAATTTAATAATAAATAGACACACACATCGGAAAATTAAAAACTCGGATTTTTTGGCGCCGATTGCGAATTCCCATACACAAAAAGTAGTAGTCCACCTTGACTTACCGAAGTATCTACCAATAGTACCAAAATCCGGAATCCGGGAGAAACCGGAATCCGGATCCGGCGGATTTCGCATAAGAAAATCCGGATCCGGATCCGGTTGGAAAAAACGGATCCGGCACACCCCTAGATTAAACTAAAATATTTTCTTTCGTGCCTTGAGACTGAGGGAACATAATTGATCTTGAATCCTCAGTTTTCAATTCTCTTCAGCTGGGAAAAAGATCTTTCTCCAGAGCAATTTGAAACCATCATACCAAGAAACAATCTCTTATTTGCTTCTATATTAGGGAATGCTGATTTGACTTGACACGATCGTTAAATATTACCCTATACAAATCCTGATGTGTCAGACTTTTATGTTCCACTGAACAATGGGCTTGACTACGTCTAACATATTGATGAAAATTCTTGATTTCTCCTACTAGATTCATGTCCTCATCTTCAGGATATGTTTGGCATAAAGCACTAACTTCTTCACGAATCTCTTCCTCTGTAGCTTCTAACTTTGTTAAGCATGAAAACATTTTTGCAGCATCATTATCTACTGAGACCCTCTGTGCCAGACTTGACTCTTAATGCATCCATCACAGATATAAATGTTTTGATTCTGAACTTGTCTCTTGGCTCAAGGTTCTCTAAAGCATCATATTCATCATCATTGATATGCCTTCTTCTATACGTGCTTTTCTTGTAATCAACATCAGGCAATTTTTCCTTTGCAATGATTGAACATATCCCTGGAAACTTTAATAAAATCTGAAAATGAAGCCTACAATTTCCTACATGCAGCTGGACTAATTTGGAGGGTCTTGCGGTGATTGGCGAGTCTTGTGAAATTCATCCACCAAGTAACTCCACAAATACAACATTACCCTAAATTAAAACTCCTTCATAATTATTCAAAATGTTTAAGGCTTGATTTATTGTTTCGCCTTTCTCTGTGTTATCGATATAAAGCTGATGCAATGCAGAAATTATTCCATGATAACTATCAAGTATTGCAATTGTGGCCATTGAATGTGCTTCACATCCAGCCTTTGACAAAGACTTTGGAACTGTTGAATCATATTTGAAGAATGGCAACATCTTTGTGTAGATGATGAAAATAAATCATATATTTCTTGAAGAATGCCAAAAACATTCACTGCATCTAAACAACAGTCAACTGCCGCTCTACCAACACGATTCAGGAAATGACCAGCACATGGAATATATACATAGCATACTTGTTAATCGTCAATATTATGTATTGCTTACCCTTGCATTTGCCAGACATTTTGGCAGCATTATCCTATGATTGGCCTCCACACTTCTTAAAATCTATTCTGCTCTCATTTTTAAGGTAGCTGTGCACCATCTTAGCCATACATTCCCCTGTGTGGTTAGAAAACGTTCCATAAGGAGCCCATCATTTGGTGAAACATACCTCTCAATAACAGTGAGATGATCAATATGAGATCAGGCTGGAGTGGAATCTAAAGATAAATTGAAGTACCCTGCAGTTCTTAACTCATCCAAGGTTCAGTCTCTTACTTCACATGCCATAATTTGGAAAGATTCATCACATATTGATTTAGAAAGATAAGATGTGCCACCTTTATTCCCAAATTTTGTTATATGGCTTGCTAGAAAATGATCACATTTTGCTATAAATTCGTGTAATTCAAGGACATAGCCATTGTGAGGAGAACCAAATGTTTCCT